CTTTTGGTTGCCAGGCCCGGAAACACTTTTTCCCATTGACTTACATGGGGAAAGAGTGGTCTGTAAATCGTTGGATAATTTTTTTTAAACTAAATAAACTACCCAGTATGAACACTTGTATAGCCCTTATTAAAAACATTCGTTCCTCAAGTTGTAAAAATGTGCTAATAACGTTATTCTGTGAGTTATTTCCCTCTGCATTATGAACGCGCATCTAACCCACGGGACCGCGCCGCCCGGCACGTTCATGTTACGTGTTCAGCACTACATGCGTTTATCTTTACCCATGGATGCACAATAAGAACGGACCCATATCGCCTTACTGCCAGCCCACGGAGCTGTAATAATGGATATATTGCACATGTTTGCTGTAATTCATCATTTGTAAAATATTATACTACATGGGCTGTATGATTAAATCTTGTACCGTAAATGTTGTATTAAATAAAGTTAATATTACCGACGTAGATTAACGTCCCTGTACAGTAGCTTCTTATTGCACTAAGAAGCTTATTGCACTGTATATATATATATATATATATATATATATATATATATATATATATATATATATATATTATATATATTATATATATATATATATATATATATTATATATATTATATATATTATTATATATATATTATATATATATATATATTATATATATTATATATATATATATATATATATATATATATATATATATATATATATATATATATATATATATTAGTGCAATAATTCTTTCATGCTAAATGAAGCTCTGTTGCTTGGATATCACTAGATCCTGTTACAGCGTAATATAAAAGTACATAACGATTGATGTGTAAATTAGCATAATTACTAGCTAACCGCTAGCTGCTAACTGCCGCCTCGTTAATATCAAATCTATCATAACAACCCATTACCATGCTGTCATGAACGTGCGGTGCTGTTACGTGTACGCAAATTGACGTGCTTGATGTGAACGAGCATTTTGGGGGGCATGGTTAAAGTTGCGCATGCGCTATGAGCGCACATACGGGTACTTCTCAGGCATGCCGGGTAATCTGTGTCGTTTCGCTCTCTCAAAAGTTGGGCCATTTTATCATCATGCGAGTTTTAAACACATGGTTTTACTAAGGGACCGTCAATAAATTATCGTTCGAGAGACACAAAACCAATGTTTTTTTCAATACCTCGGTGCTTACTTGCTCATAATGTCTCTTAGGTGGCAGCCTTTTTTTAAATGACTTATTACAAATAAATAAACCCATTCATAGATAATTTTTCGTTTTGTTCAATTTCTTCCACAATTGTGAACTCCTAATCCATGACATATATTTTTAATACACCAAACAAATAAGACGCACTATTTTTTTCATTATATTTTAGGGCTTGTTCTAATTTATACAAATCTTGTAATTAAAAAGTAGCCTAGCTGTTTGTTTTTTTGAAGTGTCCTTTTTTGCAATAGCTTCCATATCATGTGACCCATTGACTCTCAATCCATACCAGATATTTTATCAATGAACAGATGAGACACAGCTCTCAATGTCAACTCAGCAAATATTGTATATTTGGAGTATAAAATAAATGGAAATACACAAGTTAAGTACAAGTATCCTACAATTGTATGGGAGAACAGTACTTGAGTAAATGCACTTAGTTACTTTCCACAACAAAATAATAATAATTGAAAGTGCACCTATCATGCTATTTTTAGGCAATAGCATAGGTCTCAGATATATAAAAATATATAAAAAACATGTCTATGAAGTGTTTTGCTCAAAATACCAAACAGATCAACCATTCTAGCCATGGCTCCAGGGCCGGCCCTGACCAATTTGCTGCCCTAGGCAAGATTTTAGCTGGCGTCCCCCCCCAAATGCAGACACTCACTATGACTCGCGCATGCATTCACATGCACGGTTGTGGCATGACCACCAAAACAGAAAGATATGGACACAAGATGTGTGCAAATGTATTTAGTATCCTATCCATTTGAACATGATTTAAGTGGGGGGTGGACCTAACCTCCTCTAGGGGGGCCCGGGGGCATGCTCCCCCGGGAAGATTTATTTTTTTTAATATTGAAGTTAAAAGCATCAATCTGGTGCACTTTTTGAGAGCAACATTAAGAGATTTATGGATACATAGACATTTATTTATGGATATTTTACAAATCACTCCCCTTTCAAATTGTATTCTTGTTTATTAATAACAACTTTTTTGTGCACCATAGTTTATGGGCGCTGTACGCAATATAGGCGTAGTTCTGTTAGTATAAGATAATAAGATGTACTTTGTTGATCCAAAATCGGGAAATTGTGTTATGAAATTCATTTCTAACTTTTTTTTTCTTTTTCAATTTTCGGCGCCCCCCATAGATTGATGCGCCCTTAGCATTCGCCTATACTGCCTATGCCAAGGGCCGGCCCTGCATGGCTCATATCCCTTTATTTCACTTCCTGTTTCAAAAGTGCTGATTGCGGGTATAAAGCTTTAAAAAAAATAAAAGGATACAAAAAATAAAAGGAGGGGGCTGAGCTCATGCGGTACCCGGCAGCAGCTACTGTCTAAACTAAATACTGCCGTGATGAAACGCCATATCATGGATTATCAAGGATTATTTCTGAAACAGTATGGAGCTCAAAGGCTTTCTCTCTTGCCGGTTATACCACAAGGTGAGTTCCTTTTTATTTCCTACTTCTTCACACACATGCTCTCCAGTACAGGTTAGCTCTGAGTGTTAGCGATGCTAATGTACACAGACCATATACGTCCAAAACAGTCGGGCATTGTTTCTGATAGCAACTTTCTGATAGTGCCGTGGGTCCACATTTCCAATATTACGTCATATCGGACGCAAATCTGGATCAGCTCCGTTGTACCCCCGTTTTTAGAGATTTGCGTACGGAGGAAAAGAGAGAGGGTTTTATTTTCTGACGCTGCGTGAGTTCCCCGACACACCGGGGACACATATTTATGTATAAAAGACATCAAAAAGTGAATTTTGCATGATAGGTCCCCTTTAAAGTGATCAACAATGTGGTGGAATACAAATGTCTCTTCTCTGTGTATTTACAGGCTCTGCAAACACTGGCAAAGAAGCATCCTGACATCATCTCTGTCGTCCGCCTGGGTAAGATCTCTCTTCTTTCTGTTAAACCCTCCGTCCTGCTACCATGTCCCGGCATGCAATGGCTTATGAATAACCCTGGGCTCTGATATTTATCTGACAACCACTGATGCTCAACTTTCTTTCCCTCTATGTCAGACGTAGATAACCTTTGCAGCATAAAACAGTGCGCCCAGCATGTGGGCTCTCTGGTGGGGACGGGGGGTCTCAACCTGCTGATTAACAATGCTGGCGTCCTCTTCAGAAACACCCTGCAGAAAACAAGTCCTGAGGAGATGCAGAAAACCTTCAACACCAACGTCATAGGCCCGATGAGCATCCTTCAAGTAAGCGAGAGGGAAGTCTGAAACACTGAATTTCAATACAGCACTGAACGTTTTTGTAACACTTCGTATGAGGCTCAATTCCATAATGCATTATAAATATCAATCAATTACATTTTATTGCAAGCCCAATATCACAAATGACAGGGGGCTTTACAATATGTACCCTGTCCATAGACCCTTAATGCATTATTACCAGTGCTGTATAATTAAAATGATAAGCAATCCTCATAATGCTTTAAACGGAAAAAATTCCCAAACTGGGATCAATAAAGTACTTCTTATCTTACCTTATCTTATAAACATAACACACTATTAAATAATGGTATAACCAGATAAGGTCAAGTGTCATAATACTTAAGTACTAGTAGGGGAGAGTGGGGTAAGATGAGCCAATTTGTACTTGTATTGTCCTCTAGGCAAGGATAAATGAGATATAAGTCAGAAGACAACAGCAACCTTTACTTCAGGATGTCTTGTGTCAATCAATCACAAAGGGCCATGAAAATATGACTTCTCAAAAAAAGAGGTGTTGTGGCTCAACTTGAGATTGTCAGACCTGGATGAATTCGCTTTGACTTAACAGTAATTATACCTGACATGTTGAATATTTAATTTGACAAGCAAAACATGGTTTATTGTGAAAGAAAACACATTTACCACTTAACCATGTGCTTTTCTCCATCACAGCCAAATATAAATGATGGGTGCATCCTGAATTTATGGTCACATGAGCTAAAGGGGTGGGTCAACCCACAGGCTCATCTTACCCCACTCTCCCCTACTAGTTGCTGGTCACACAGACTTTTGTCTAATTTCCTTACTTGTAAATTAATAGATTACAATCTTTTTATAATCAAATACTATATGCAATTCCATCATCACAACATATTAGTAGGTTAACAATTATAAAATACAATGTGATAATTGACCTTACAAGTCATTACAACAGGCTGTATATCATTGTTATAAAGCATTACAAATATTCAAGAGTGCTTACAACTGCCATGATACATTGCTATAGGCAGATAATAACACATTTGTGCAGGTTTATAATGCAATACAGAAATGGGCGTCATAGTATTTTCAAGGTTTTCTTTTCTCTTTGCTTCTGGTCATCATTAGGAGTTCCTGCCTCACCTGCGTTCAGCAGCAAAGGCCTGTGGGATGCCAGGGATGTCCACCAGCAAAGCAGCCGTCGTCAACATCTCCTCCACTCTGGCTTCAATGCAACGTATTCAACAAACATATGAGTTCACACCCGCCGTCTCCTACCGCATCAGCAAGGTGAGTGACAACATGCCAACTTAGTGATCTGCTATTTAAAGCCTTCATCTTAAACTTGATAAATGGAGCTCCTTTTCCTCCCTCTCGTCTCTCCTCAGGCTGCTCTGAACATGCTGACTATGTGTGCTGTAGAGGAACTGAGGAAGGACGAGATCCTGTTTTCTCTGCTGCATCCAGGCTGGGTGCGCACTGAGATGGGTGGAGAGGATGTGAGTCTGCTGTAATGAAACAGGAAACAATGTAACAATGTACAGGAACCAGTCAGCTCTGATTGATAGTTTAATTTATTAATAGAGAAGTATGAGATTAACATCATGTCGTATGATTTCATATTTCACACACATTCTTTTAGGGGTAATGTAAATAATTGTGCCCTTCCTACTACAGTATTTTTGTTAAATCAAGAGAATCCACAGAAAAAAAAACTAAGAAAATGTCGCAACTCTCATGGTGAGAAAATCACTTGAGATTATTTTTGCAACATTTTACTTTCCCTTAAAATGAACCTCCACGATTGCAGCTGTTCTGCATGCTTACACAACAAAGAATTACATACAAATGACATATCTCATGAGCTGTTCACATTGAGGTCATATTGAAACAAATCATACTTGGATCAAATATGAAGGTGTCCAAGGTCAGGAATGAAAATGGCAGAATTGCAGTCTTGTTTTTTAACTTCTTCTTGTGTACTGTGTGTTTCTGACCACCAGGGGGAAATTGAAGCTCAGGAGAGTGTGCTGGGTATGTGTGACGTGATGGCCTCCCTGACTGAGAAGCAGAACGGAGCCTTCCTGGACTACAAAGGAAATCCCATTCCTTGGTAGCTTTAAAGCACTTCATAAACTAATGAATGAATCCAAGTGAAATAAACCAATACTTGTTCTAATTACTTTGCTTGTATCATGCTCATTTTACAAATAAACATGCACCCAAATGATTTGATACACAATTGGGAAATTTGTGTTGTAATATGGTTAGATTCTTTTCAAAATCACCATGTAGCACTGTTCCACACAGCCACCTTAGCGGTGCAGATCTTCAGCGGGTTGGGGTTATTCCCATTGATGTTGGCTCCAGGGCAGAAAAAGGGGTAAATCTTCTCAGTAAAGAAATCATTGAAGGTGTAGATGGGCACCATGCTCACAGGGTTGGAGAAGATCACCTCTCCGGAGTCAAAGTCCAGCTGCACCCTGACCCGGGTCAGCTCCCCCTGCAGGTGCAGCGGGGTGCTGGGCCTCGTCATGGCCGAGTACTCGCCCTCGTAGTGCGCGATCATCCAAAAGCCACCTTCGGGACAACCTGAAATGCGGCCTTTCCTGTCGATGGTCTCCTTGGCCACCCCGAGCATCCAGTCCGCCTTGTCCCCCACCTCCACCTCCCAGGCGTGGCGGCCCGAGGTGAAGCCCTCTGACCCCAGCAGGAACACAAAATGGCCGAAACGTTCAGGATTGTTCGGGACATTCTGGAGGCATCCGCTGTTAGTGACGCAGGTCAGGTCTGAGGAGAGGGACAACCAGGGGTAGGCGGTGTTGGGGTCCATGGTGATGGGCGCTGAAAAAACAGTGATTAATTCCTCCCAAATTTCAAGGCACACTGCTTTGCTTAAAAACAAAAATGTCCAGAACTTTAACAGACAAGCCTACCAGGTTAAAGGGAAACACTGCCACCTCTTATGTGGATGGCATATAGTCAATTGAATCAATACATTCCTCTGTGAGTGCTATATTGACAGAGAAAGCTGCAAAATCTCTTGTTCTCCCTGCATCCTTTGATGTGACAGTGACCTATTTTGATGAAAGGAAGAACTACAGGCTGTTTCAGCTTGGATTTCAGGAGGATATGACCAGCAGGTACCCTTCAGGCGTCAGAAGCTCACACGCAATGCATCTTGGGACACGAAGACACTGCCAGCATGACAACGGAAACGGGATGCACTGAGGAGTTTATTGCTTCAATTGACTGATTAGACAAAAGGTCAACATTGTACACAAAACATGGTGAATCGACCTTTTAATAAAAATGGCAGAGCATACTCACTCCACACTTGCCTTCTTCAGGGTCAAACTATTCAGTAACACTTGCTACTGAACAAGTGTGCTGACTTGTTTAACACAATTCAGTTTTTCATGTTACAAAACATCCTGCAGAGAGTAAAATAAGTGCTTACTGTACTGAACCAGCTCGGCCATCTTCTCCCACACATGGTACTTGAGGGAACCGACATGCTCGGCCACATTTATAAGAGCGTCCTTCCACACCTTTTCTGGGTTATTCGGTGGGATCTGTGCTCTGTGGGAAGAAAAAAACACACAGGAATCCAATACATAACTAGTGAGCTGAATCTGATATACAGAGAAGATGCAGAAGATAATAAAAATGACCTTTTCTTTGTGTTGGCGTAATTCTGAAATCAAGAGAAAGGGGATTAGAAACTGTTTGTATGATAGGATGAATTGAAAGAGAAAGATGTATTACCTTAAGGAAGAGAGCATCACTGGAACCAATCTCGTTCTCAATGGCAATGACAGCGTGAGAAAAGGTGAAGATACTTCTGGTGATGTTCTCTGACTTCTTCCTCGCCAGCTCCTTCTTCTCCTCATCCTCCTTCAGCAGGGCGGCCATCCGAGCCGTCTCCTCCTTCTGCAGGAACTCCCGCAGCTGCTCAAACTCATCTTTGATCTGCTTTTCTGTGGCCTCAGTCTGGTTCTAGCACACAGAAATAAAGTGAATGTACAATGATATCTATGGCTGAAGTGTACTTATCTTTTATATGTAAGCCTTTGTTTAACTACATGTCCAAATTATATTTACCTTTACTTAGATTTTATTCACCAAAGTACACCTTGAAAAACAAGTGTCTTGTACAGTTCCCTGTGTTTTTTTTAAATATCTGTTGTAATTTATTGTCTTTTATTGTGATTGTAGAAATGTGTTTTTATGTGATTTTATTACATGTACAGCACTTTGGCCCGACCAAAAATCGCTTTTAAATGTGCTTTATAAATAAACTTTGATTTGATTTGATTTGTACATTTTATGTTTATCTGGCCAATACAAAAATAATATGAACACCATAAAACCATATTAAGAATTTCCTTATTTCCTGTTTTTGGCATCTTAAAAAGCATCACTGTGAAATAGCTGTTGGATTTAATCTTATTTTCCATGTTTTTTCACAGTATCCCTTTCAAATATGATACATTATAGGGCTGCTCAAATTCAGAGTAAAGCAAACAATCCTGATTCAAAAGCATGTTCTTTAAGTGCTAATTGGCTGCTCTGCCTATAAAACATATAAGATGCAACCTGAGAACGAGCACCCTGAAACGAACCAGGCGGCTTTCTAACACCCAGGCTGACATGTTTACACACTAACAGTGCGCGCCTCAACTCCAGTTACAGTCACATCAGCGGTCATGCTGGTCCTCTCCTTTTTTCCTGCTTTGTTTATTGATACCTTGATGTGCACAGTTGTGTCATCACACTCCTGCTTGGCTTCATACAGGCAGCGCAGGTTTTTCTTCAGAGGAATCAGATCTTTTTTTAGCTCTGCCTTAAGGGTGAGGGGACAGAAAGGGTCAAAGTTTCAGAAGACATTTGGTGTTCCATCCCATTTGGTCTACACAGACTAAAGCATAGAAGGGAGGTCAATTTTTTGAAATATGAAGCGGCAGATCACAATACTTTAACCCATAACAAACTACAACATAAAATAACACATTACCTTGAGGTCCTGCGCTCCCTCTTCCAGAGGACACACTCTGTGCCCTTGGTGCTTTTTGGAGGTGTGACACACACAGCAGAGTGCTTCAAAGTCATCCAGACAGAAGAGCTTGAGAACTTCCCCGTGTGTGATGCACCTCTCCTCCACTTCCTGCTCCCCTGTCCCCCCGGGCCTTCCTCCTGTCCCAGCTGTCCTGAGCTCCTGCTCCCTCAGGAAGGTGTCGGCCACGTTCTTCAGGGCCAGGCTGACCGTGGGCTCCGTCAGGGAGCACTTCCTCCTACAGACGGGACACTCTCGTCTGGCTTTCTTCTTGTTCCAGAACTGCTGCAGACAGTCTCGGCAGAAGCTGTGGCTGCACTTGAGGACCACGGGGTCCCTGAAGATGTCACAGCAGACAGGACAGGACAGCTCCTCTTCCAGCATGGAGCCCGAGCGCGAGGACATGGCCCGCGGTCGAAGGGCTGAAGCTGCCTTGGGACTGTGGAAGAAGGAAAGCTTTCCAGGCTGAGAGGAAGCGCGTGGGCGCATCGCCATGGCTGGTTCCTGGTGGTATGGGGGGGTTCCTGGTAGAGACTGCACTGTGGGGGAAAAGAAGTGCTCCTCTCTGCAGGGAGTCCACTGAGTAATCTGGACAGTTTATGAACAACCAGGGTTATAGATCAACAGGGACTCGAAAAACAGGTTTTCTGCAATTATAAATAAAGGACATGTCACGACCAATCAGCTGCCAGCCACAACAGAGCTTTATATAACTGGGCTGTCTCCAGCTGAGTCAAAAAGGCATGTTTTTCTTCTTATGAAAACGTGAATGCTGCTGAAAGTGCTCTATTTATCCATGAAAAAGGGAATAAAAGACACAAGGTATATCAGTGGGGCAGCAGGGATTTGAGAGGGTAATGGGAACTGGAAATAGCAGTATAAACTTTCTTGCAATATTTATAATCTACTGCAAAGGTTATTTTGTGTTGAACTGGGACGGAGGCCTAGAGTTGAACCCGCCCTATCAGGTTTACTTAGGTGTATTTGATTACATTGCCTCTGATGGCCTGCTGACACCTAAAGAGATTCATAGTTACATGTCATATATATTTCAGGAGGAAAGGAGTGAAGCGGTGCAAACAAAGAGGGGGGGGTTTTCTGTGACTGTTGTGAAAACATTTACACACAGCATTATTTTGTGACAGCATAACACAGGAGTACTTAGGAAAGACCAAAAAGAAGGAAAACCGCCATGTCGATGTTATTATTGCATTATAATTAAACATTGACAACAGTGTTATACAAAGCCAACAAAATAATGTGTCAGTGTTTCAGTGTTCTAGCATCAGTTTCATTACATTTAGATATTCATTAACTCTGAAGAGTGGAACAAAAATGAGAAAATTGTTTCATACATTTGGGAATACTGAAAAGGTTAACACAAAAAAAAAATGAAAGACATGTTTACCTACGCTGAGTAGTTGGTGCTGCATTGCCTGTTGTTTTCACTCTATAAACCACACTAGTCACTGATGAAATAGTTTTTGAATGATTCTGCTCCAATGAGGGGATACTTCTCCAATGAGGGGATACTTCATTTTTCAGCACCAGAATAGATACTTCTAACAAAAGCCTGCACGAGATTAGAAGAAATGAAGGACTTTTATTTCTTAAAAGGGTCAGGTCACCTCACAATCAAAAACATACATTTCTCTTCTTAACTTGTCGTGCTATTTATCAATCCAGAATGTAAAAGTGCTAGATGCCCAGTGTTTGGAAATATTGGTGTAGGTCTGCCAACAAAAAAAAAGTCCCCGGATGAAACTGCTCCCAACTAGGTCTGTAGATTTTCCTCAAATAGATAGGTCATATTTCGGGAAAGAGCCATCGCTGGTGAGTTTTTCCAAATGTATTTTTTGGCGCTTTCAGCACAATAAAGAATGTTCTGATACTTAAAACACTGGGCAAATCACACAAAAATAATCTAGATGGATAAATATCGCTTAAGGAAAGATGTTAAGAAAAATGTATTTTGATTCATGGGTGAGTTGTACCTTTACCAAATTACTACTCAATTTCACACGTTTTTAATACTGCCTTCTGTAATGCTTCAGAATGAGCTAGTTGCGTCACAAGATCAAATTGTTCATTCATTACACAAACCCTGTTTCAAAATAGACATCACATCACTTTATATAAAAACACTAGCTATAAAAGAAATAAGTAGACGCAACAACAAACCTTGAACCTTCTCACCTTCATAAAAAAAGGTTGTTACACTGATTTTCTGTAACACTGTCAAACGTATTAAAATAAAAATGTAGTTTGCTGCAGTTAGCTTCATTACAGCATGGAGTGTGTTAAAGGTGAACGAACACCACTGGTCTTTTAGTCGGCTAGTAACACATCACTATGACCCTTTTTGCGAGAAAAAAACAGACATAAAACCAGCAGAATTCATTATGAAGATAAAAATAAAACATGCTTTTAAAACTGACCCTCAACAGTAACAGCGAGTGGTTGAGGACACTGTAACTTAGGACTCCTTGTACAGTGCAATCTCTATTCACGTCTGTTGTTGGTTTTCAGCGCGGTGCAACACAGTGCAAAGTGTGAAAACAAATCTAATTGTTAAAGTATCAAATATCTACTTAGTTGTCTTTCTCCCATATTGGAGACGTGTGCTGTACTTGTTCCACTGACAGCGACTACAACAACAACATGCAGGTTCATGTGATGCGCTCATCATCATGCTTGTTTCTGGAAAAAGCCGGAAGACAAATAAAAGCACTTGGGAAGTCATTGCAGTCCTCCTTCTTCTCCCATTGACTGCCATTATCCTCTTTGTCTAGGCAGAGTCCCAAAAGAGTGCACTCTAAATTAAAAATAGTATACACTGAAATAAAAACAAACTCATGACGGTAGTGTTGTGTTTCCTAGTAGTGCTGAATGTTGTGGGTGTCACACACACAAAGGTTGTTCTGCTCCGTTACTTTCTGAGGTTACACTCTCCCAACCTTAGCATCGCCGATGGCACCCCATACGTCAAAAACAAATTCGTCTGGGAATGCAAAGTCCCCGAGGGTTTCGTCTAGAGCCTCTGCAAACTCATCAGGGTTCTTCTTGTCTTTTCCTAGCTCCACCATGGTCGCCGCTGAGGAGACGGAGAGAGGACAACAGTTAGTGAACACACACACACACACAAGTGACATATACTCATGTCGACACCTGTAGAGACAACAACACACACGCACCCAGCTCGCTGTCTCTGATGCCCATGTAGCTCTCCAGCAGGTCATCCACCTTCTCAATGGCCTTTTCCTCGAATGCATTGGGCTGAGGTGAAAACAAACACAGCAGAGACTCAGGCAATGCAACAGGATTCTGTTTTCTGACCATCACAGAGAGCTGGTGTCAGTCTATAGTTAGTTATAGTTAAAACCCTCACCAGCTCCTCAACAGTAGCAGGACCTTTAGATCGCAGCCGCAAGGTTCCTCTGCCGGTCCCCAGCTGAACCCCGGATCCTGACCTGGACCCTCCAGACCGCTGCCCGATCATATCTATGAATAATGATTCATAAGAGACCCTTAAAACACTTTGTACAGAGCTTAACATCATGCCTCGTCACATTACTCACCCCATTAATTAATACTTTTTTTTAAACTCAATCTCATGTTGCTCTCACTGAACATTGCAGATTGTTAGTGGAGCTGTAAGTCCAAAAATATAGTGCAAGTCATTTAGGATTCTTTGCAAATGGACCCAAGAGGCATCACTTTGTTTTATATATGCATTAAGGGCCCCTATGTCAAGCAATCTATGCAATAACTTAATTAATACATTTAATAATTTTTCAATTATCAAATATTGTATGGTGACTAGATATATAATTCTTATAATATGAATATTCTTAATCTCATTCTGTCCATATAAAAGGATATTCCATTTGGATAATGTTAATTAGGCCTTATTTTAAATGCACATTTTCCAATAAAAACATGCGAGTAATGCCAATATTATTTTGACTTTTCTCAATCAGTGTATTTATCAGTTTTTGCTGCCTCTTGCCTGTTACGTAGAGTCTACGCCCTGAAGAAAGGCCCATGTTGTGCTGAGCTTGTTAGCTTGTTAGCCACCTACCGAAGGCCTTGAGCGGCTCTGTGAGCTTGATGGTGAACTCCTTCCCTTTGGGCAGCTCCTTCAGCATCTTGGCCACCTCATAGTGTCGACATCCAATCAGGCGATGGCCGTTGATCGACTCTATCATATCGCCCACGTTGATGACCTGTATCTGGTGGATGACGCTCCCCTCGCGGATTCTCTAAAAAAAAAATATATATATATATAAAAGTTTGAATAAAAAAATCCAATACACTGTCCAGCACTATCTCCCCGTCTCGTGTAATCTATTCACATTGAATATTCTGTGCAGAAAACATTCCCTAATATAGTCCAGGTGCATGCCTTCCCCTGTGGATCCTTGAATGAAATAAAATCAATGTTCTCTGCTATTTTAACATTTCTCACCTTGATGAAAGCGTAGCCAGCTCCATTATCTGTGATCGTCAACCCCAGTGCATCCTCTCCTTTGTACACCTCAATTTCCTTTCGCTGTCCTTTAATGTGGGCAAAAATAAAGTCCTCTAGCCCAATCTGCCCTCCCAACAGTTTATCCATGTCCACCTTGTGAGTGTTCAGTGTGCAAAACATAACCTGTGGAGGAACACAACAAACGAGTAAGATTAGGTCTTTTTGGTAAAATTAAGCAAACCTGTATATACATACTACCATCACATCAGCAGAAGGACTTACCTCAGCAGGCGGTATCCCAAAGGCCTCACCAATTTTGGCATAGAGCTCCCGCACATTACTGAAGCCCTCTATACGGCCGGTGGGGCTGCCATGAGCGAGCTGAGTGTGGAAGATGAGGCGAGGTCGCATGCTGCTGTGTGGGGGGGGCAGACCTTCAGAGGTGGCCCCTTCTCCCAACCCCAACACACCTCCATCTAGGCCTTCCATGCCCGGCACATGGAGACCTGCGCGGATAGGCTCCCCTTCCTCGTTCTCGACTAACGGGGACGCCTTCTTCCTTCTTCCCAAACCCAGAGGCATCGTAGTGATACAGGGAGAGCAGGTGGGGGAGAGGGGAGGCGCTGCTCTGGAGAGTTCTGCTACAATCCAGACCAACAGCCAAACCAGCTGCAGGTCCGTAGGGTGATTTACGTCAGAGTTATAGTGTGGTCCTCCAGACAAGCTGTAAAGCTGTCTCAACCAGGCTCTGAATGAAGGTTCAAGTCCAAACATCAGAGCAGCTTACATAGCCTGACCTGTCATGTCCAACAGTCTGCTGTGGGGGGGGGGCTTCAGCTGCAAAGAGATACAGAATCAGGTTTAATTCTAAGTAAGTTTCACTATTGGTGCATATGTATATATATAAAAACGGTTGCAGAAAGGAAATTAGAAAGAAAAAAACACATCACAAAAACCAAGACACATAGAATACTAGAATATAGGAACAATCATTTGAATACTATGCTATACTATACAGAATACCTTAAACATGCTTGCAATATGTGTGAGCTGTGCATGTTTTAGAAGTGGTATTTTAGTGCACCAATATGCAATATTAGGGACAGCAACCCTTCACTTTCATACATTTACAAAGCAGTTACATCTGGGTTTTCCCATCAATTTCATTCAAACTCGCTGTGTCATTACATCTCATTGTCATAGTTTATCAAGTAGGTTTTTATTAGCACTCATTAGCTCTTTATAAAGATTAAAACGTTTCCTCAGCTTGGACAGTCAGAACATCACACAGAGCTCTTAGCTGTTAGCTGTGAGGCACATTTCCCACTCATCTTCTAGCAACACAAACACTGACAACTCTCAATTAGCTAGCCACTTAGCATGTAGCTCCTACAAACGGAAGCTAATCAAATCAGTGACAGATAATTTCAAATTTAGAAGCGAGGTATTTTCTTAAATTGTTCGCACAGCTGGGGACTTCTAGCTAGCTACACTGTGGTCGCTAAGTGTGAACATAAGGGAGTAAACATGGTGGTTCTTACCGGAGTTTTAGCCAACTGTCGTTAGCTCTTCCTGCTAGCTTAGCCTGCTAACGGGGTTAGGGCGAGTTGTCAGAAAATATGTCCTCTTGCAAAGGAAGTCCAATGTGTTCTGCTGCTCCGCTGCTGACAGGTGGACCCGGCCTGTGCAGGTTTTAGGGAGGTATCCCGGTGTGGTGTCTGAGTGTCGGTATGCTGCTGCTGAGGATTTTAGCTTCTGCCAGCCCAGCAGGGGTGGAACAATGCCGCATTCAGGTTCACTCGTAAATCCCAGTTTCTAAGTAAAGGAATTGTTCTTATAACGTGAATACAAGTTGTCAAGATCAAGAAATAAGCAAGATACACAGAGGTGGGAAAGGTACTCAGATCTTGTACTTGAGTAAAAGTAAAAGTACTAGAGTGTAGGAATACTCTGTTACAAGTAGAAGTCCTGCACTCAAAAGGTTAATCAAGTAAAAGTACAAAAGTATTAGCATCAAAATATACTTATAGTACCAAAAGTACTCACTATGCAAATTTGTCAATTTCCCGATATCATATGTTTTGCTTATTATTGTTGATGCATTAATGTGTTATCAAAGCTGTTAAAGGTGCAGCTAGTTTGAATGACTTTGTATACTGCAGGGTAGCTTGTGAATGTTGCTCCAGGTGTAACAAAAGGTCCTTTTTCATTTGTGTTTATATGTTACATCATTAATCCAAAATAACTAAATGTACAAAATAAATGTAGTGGAGTAAAAGTACACGATTTACCTCTGAATTGTAGTGGAGTAGAAGCACAAAGTAGCATAACATGGAAATACTCAACATTGTACTTAAGAAGTGTACTTGAGTAAATGTACTTAGTAACTTCCCACCTCTGAAGACACAGTATCACAAAAGCTGTTTATGGTATTCTGTAATCAAGAAATATAAACAACAGATCTCTCATATTTCTTTCTTCCTTTTGAGCAATATTTTCTGGTGTGATATGCATAACTGGCTAGGTTAGATATGTTCTCACACGTTTTAGTGTTGATTACAAGCTAAGTGTTTTGCCACTAGAGAACTAGGAATGCAACAGTCTTTTTTGGGTTAAAATTCAATTATGCGAGCTCCATTTTTTGATAAGGCCATTCTCCTCATGATGCACAACTTGCCATATTATGTGGTTGTATGCATTTTCTACATGAATAAAAAGATTCAACAAATTAAAGAAATGCCTTTAATTGAACCAGTCTTTTAATGAAGGCCGTACCATGTTAGATTTCATATGCATTTTGTGATTCAACTAAATAATGAGGGGGGAACATGATGGTACTGAATACATGTAAAAAGAGTCAGTGTAGTTGTACATCTTGAACACCAGAGGGCAGTGGTACATGACTGCTTCAGTCATAAACTCCAATGTAGCTTATGAAGCTCACATTCTAATGTTGGTTTTGCTGTAGTTATCTTTGTGAAACACAAGAATAATGTTATCAGATGGGTTTTTATGAAAATATTAAACAATAGAGATGTTGAGTTTACTCTACAGTAAATGGCTGAAAAATGGTGCAAGAGGAGTGTTTTTTTTTTTTAAATGGAATCCGAGTTTTCCACAAGACATTGTTGACTAAAACACATTTGGAGCTTAATAACTTAAAATCTCACCTTTCAGCTAAAAGATGCAAAACATTCTCAATAACTACAACACGTAGGCCATAATTGATTAGATACTTGCCAGTCTTTTTAATGTGGAAATGCAAATCATCACAGCATAGGAAGGATCTATCGAAAATGTCTCTCAATATCAATTCATAAAAGCTTTGTCTTTAAAAATAAAAATATCTTGAATTCCAACCTGAGGCATTTTAAAAACAACATAAACAGGAGGTAAAACAAGATGATGCTTACACATTTTGTTTGCCTCTAAAAAGAAAAAAGTTTGCAAGGAAAAAAAACAGAGATTACACATCTCTACATTCATGTTAAACCACATGTAAGAAACGTACAACTCCCACAGGAGCAGGCAACACCTAAATACTGAAGGTGGAAAATAAACAACACTGATTGACTAACTTCCACCGTCAGACAGTCCAGGTGAACAGGGCTGAATAATGCAGAGTTTAGTGAATTTCACTACATATTTCCAGAAGCTAAACATCCTGGATCATTAAAAGATACGGGATAAAATAATCAAACAAAAATATTTAATGCAGGCCTTTAAACCTTAAGGGTTTGTTTTCACATCTTGTTCTCTGCAATATTTAGCCGGGACACGACTAATGTGTAACTAACTCACTGGCTGTAGGAGTCAAACATAGCATAGGGAACTAAAATATAATACATACTGTAAATTAAGCATCCTCAAAGGGAACGAGTGCAGTAAAGCTTTGTCAGTCACACATACTGTTACAGGATATACACATGCTCTCAACATACTTTAGACAGACATATTTTAACTACATATGGACATTTATTTGGCACAAAAAGTCTTCCCACAAATGTTTTATATAAGTAATTAGCTGGATAAACAAGGTATTGTTAAAGTAAACATTAGGGATCCATTTTTTCCTTCCCAATAGCCGTTTGATACCTTAAATCTGAAATCTGACAACATTTAAATGAACATTTATAATGTTTACACATTTTTAGGTTGTGCATATTTTTTTATTATATGTTTCTAGAAAGGGAAGTTTGGGGCCCTCTGCTGGAATTTAAACCCACGCAACCGAACTCGTGATAGGCGGTTGAACATTGATGGATTTTTAAAGTCAGTTTGAGATCGGGCCCTAAAAACTGCCGTTTGCTGTGACAAAGAGTGTAGATAACTAAAACACTAAATTGACAAAGAATATATATTATTTAACGTTAATCAGTTACATCTGGCTAACACTGATCTCCTTCAAAAAGTAATTTTTGGTGCTAATACCGAGGGTCAGATCCAATGATTTCACCTCTCAGGATGTATTTTAGCCTTTACTCGATATTAAGGCAACCAGAACTCATGTCCTGTTGGGTAATGTAGTTCAAATCACATAAAAGCATGCGTCACTGCACCTGAGGTATTGTTAATCAGCGGGCTCCGTGCTCCTTTAAAAACACTCCAAAAAACTGCTACTGTTACTTTAAAAACACTGAGTGTCCTTCTTGCAACCATACCTGACATGACAACTTTTTAAGTGTTCTTCATACAGACTTATCCTATATACTTTCCTCTATTTACCGCAAAAAATATTTTAATGCTAGGCTCAGCTGAAAGAGATGGTGTGAAGATAAAAACTACATTTGACAAAGTGCAATGGAAACAGATTTAGCAAATAAATGATGACGTACATGAATCATGCAAGTTCAACATCCACTAAAGGGGCTGAGAATAAGCGGCAGATTAAAAGTAATGGCTCCACACAGGCCAGATGTAATACCTCCTCACGTTAATACAGGACACAAACAGAAACGGGTTATTTCCATCCAGTTTCTATACTGTTTTTCAGCTTTGACTGGTGCTCTAAATGACCTACTGTTGCACCCTTTTCTGAAAAGGTAAAATGGTTCCCGGACTGCTCTGCTGCTTATCTCTTTGAACCCATTTTCTCCTAATTGCATAAAGGGAGTGGATGGAACTTGTATTCATTCACGTTTCATTTTGCAAATTTGTTTGAAATGTGTGATATATTTTGATGTAAACCTGTTAATCAACCTCCACTGAACGCACACACAAACCCTTATGTAAGCTGCTCGGTCAGTTTCCAAGTCTTTAGACGCTCATTAGAGCGAACCAAATCTGCCCTGAGCCTCAGATGTCCGGTCAAAAAAGCAGAGGAGTGTGTTGCTGGAAATGTTAACTTGTTACGGTGGAAGGATCTGCTTGAGTGCATCTCGTGTGCTTTGGCCCAGTTTTTCAGGAAATTTCACCGTAAAGTCCAGGACCATGTCGCCCCTCTTCTCGGGGCACTTGGATAGAGGGAGCCCCTCTCCAGCAATTCGCTTTTTCATCCCAGGTTTGACAACGTCTCTGGAGGACACAGTGATGGTCCTTCCATCGAGTGTAGGGGCGTTGACTGTGCATCCACACAGCGCCTGGAGAAAAACAATGTATCATAATCAACATCTTAATTAGCAAGCAATGTTTGTGCGTATCTCTGAGCCTTTGATATTTAATATGATCAATGTTCACTTACTTCTCTGAGGGATATCTTTGCAGGATAGATAATATCTGAGCCTTCTCTTCTGAACACCGGGTGGGGTTTATCTTTTACTACAAACACCACATCTGCAGGAATGTTGCTGGGAGTTTCGTCGCCCTCTTTGGGAAAGGTGATCTTCGTCCCCTCCTTCCAGCCGCGCTTGATGTCGACTGTTAAAATCTTGTCTTCGTTGCGCATGGTGCAGCCGTCCGGATTCAGTCTCTTGCGGGAAATCTTCATCTTTTTGGTGCAGCCCGAGAAGACCTCCTCCAGGCTCACCTTCAGCTCGTGCATGACGGGCGGGTCCTTCTTCTTCTCGTGCGCTCTGCGGGGGCCACCTTGTTGGGATTTAAAGGACCTTTGGAAGCCACCCATGCCACCCATGCCACCCATGCCTCCCATTCTTCCCATGCCAAACTGCCCAAAAGGGTCGTCGATGTCCATGTCATCGTGCCCATTTTGTGGGAAAAAATGATCGAAAGGGCTGCGGCCACCGAAGAACTCAGCGAACATTGCGTGAGGGTCTCCATGGAAGGTGTAGTTGTAGCTTTGACCAGTGTGTCCTCCACTAGCAGGTGCACCCTTTAATCCTGAACCAAACATCAGAGGAAATAGAGGTTATGTTAGAAAAAAGATAATGGCCAATATTTCTGAGTGTGTTTGAGGTCATTTAGAGGCGGTGTCACCGTTACCACGATTCTCTTATAACCACATGAACCACAACAAATGTGTCTATGTTTGAAATCGAAGATTGGATAGGAATATGTCATAGGACTTTTTAAACTATATTTAAAAATACGAATCTGCTTAAATGAATCCAGTATCAGCCAGGTTCTAGTAGAAAAGTTATTAGTAAGTCACTTTTGCAACTTAACCAACGAAATTGTATTAAATTAAAAAAACAAAAGTTAAAATAACGATAGGACAGTTGGGAAAACAGTTGCAAGAAAGTAATGATAGTAGAGCTACTGTTTGCTGCTAGAAATAAAAACCCATGTATTTGAGCCAGTTAAACCAGTATTATCATTACAGTGACAGACTGACAGGCAAGAACTCGTTGTTTCCAGCATGTTCTCCAGCCAAACTTATTGTAGGCCTACAAACAAACACACGCACACAGTCTGGTGACTGAAGCAAGATGCCAGAAGCAGCAATGACCAGTTATCAGGACACATTATGACATCACATACACATAACACATTGATCAAGAGCAAATGCATGCTTTTATGTGGGTTTTAACATCACAAGTTGTATGAAATCAACTGCAGCATCACTTGCAAGCTGTGTGGTGAGTTCAGTTACCTTCTTCTCCAAAGCGATCATAAACGTCCTTTTTCTTGGCATCACTGAGGACATCATAGGCTTCAGCTATCTCCTTGAATTTGTCTTCTGCTCCAGGAGACTTGTTTTTATCGGGATGAAAGCGTAAGGCCTGTTTTCTGTATGCCTTTTTTACCTCATCTTCGGTGGCACCTTTGGCTATTCCTAGCACTTTATAGTAATCTTTACCCATGTCAACAACCGGTCACTTCTTCTTTCACTTCAAAAAAAACATCATGACGCTTGAGTTTCTCTCCAGTGCCAACATCACACCCAGTGGTCCCGACTGAGGGCCAGGTTACAGCTGTCCCTGCTGCGGACACTAGCGGCTAGCTAACTGTCAAGGTTAGCTTCCCTAGTCACTGTTCGTAGACAACGTCCTACTCTTCACCGAGACGATGTCACTCAACTTATACTACACAAACTTAACATTAAATAAAACACCCCTTCAAAACAGCAGCACCCATGTGTTCCCACCGATGTGGAAACTGTGCGAGGAAACTTCTGGAAGAGGCTGGTGCTGCTGCTGATGATGATGTGTGTCATCATCACTACCGAGTCGAGAGGGTTCACTGCCAGCAACTTCCGGTTTCGCTTGAACCACAACAGAGATCAAGAAGTTTCAGGTTTGGTCTTTGCATTTAAGTTAATGACACGAAAACACTCACTAGCAACTCTTCAGATTAATACTGGCATTGTTTGGGGGTCTAGAATATATCCATTACTTTCTGAATCTGGCATCGGCCCGTTTAGTAATATATTGATTTTGTACGCATGCGCAGGTCATAACGTCGAGCTGCTTTTTTGTTCCATAGGGAAAGGGGTTTACAGAAGGAGAAAGTAACTTAAGTTTAACTATTACAATTCTGTAGCTTAAGTAAAGTAACTGAGTACTTTTCCCACCACCTGGGTTATTTATAACCCTTACATTTATGACAAAAAGATAAGGTAAGTACAGTCAGAAATAATGGGATTGACCTTACCCAACCTATATTCAGTTTGTTGGGCACATGGGGCAAAATTATTGAATTACAACAGCTCTACAATTTTATATGTTATTTATATTCCCTCTGACAAATCCTTATAAGCCCTATCACAAACAACTCTTGCAAGTATGTTAATGACTCAAACAAGTAATTTGACACTTTTTCCAGTGGCTCTTGGTACACAAGTTGTACAAGTACACCTGAGCAAATATAGATATCAACAAAGCTAAACATAGACATCAACAAAGCTTAACACAAATAAACAAACATACAGCATGAACATACATACAACAAACAGTGTGTACTGTCATATATTGTGAATTGTACACACAGGATAGTTGTATGTTTGGTTTTGTTCAAGAAGTGGATGGCTGTTCAAATTATGTTGAAATAAATATTGTGGGGCTAATGTTTTAATTAATAGTTATAGGTAGTTCATGAGTAAACTCTGTTGATGGAAATACAGATCATGCAATCTGCTTACTAAAGGGATTGCACTGTCAGTGTGTATAAATAATATGTTACTTCAGTGAGGCGGTTTAGTGTTGCAGGGTTATTGCACAGTGATCTTTCTGAGACCGGCGTGGCTAAATTAACTTTGTTTGTGGAAAGTAACTGCCCATGGTTGTCCACTGGATGCACTTGTTGTAAAATGCTTTGTAGCACCCACCAGAGGGGGCTAGTTAAAATAAGTCATGTCCAGAGTGTCAAGGGTCTGAAATGATTTTCACAGCCTGTTTCCTGACTCAGGAAATGTAAGCAGGCTGGAATGGGAGGGCAGGTTGGCATCATTTATCTTCTCTGTATTCACAACTACAGATATCCTAAATGTGCATAAATTGTACAATCTGAAGCTTTCTGACACAATTCAAACAAATATAAACCTCAACAAAGTATTAAGTAGTAAAAAAATATCTTTTATGTGGCTTTTTATTTTCTACACTTGTTGCTGTTACTGAGTCTACCAGCAAATGGGTAGGTTTAATGAAGTTACAGAATACAATTGACAAAATCTCAAAGAAAATTGAGAGATTACACTCTGAGGATAAACCATTTACATACATTCTTAAAAAATCTTGGATCACATCAAATGTTTTATTGTCAAATCTTCAGTAGGAATAAGAGGCTATTTTGCAGAATGTGACAATGTATCTGCAAGAGAATTAAAATGACTGACAGTCTCAGGGTAAGTGATCCCATGGAGTCTTATGTCACAGCATTCCTCTGACATCAGATGTTAGTGATACCACCTTTACGTCAGGATTCAACATTTGAGTTTTTTTTTCCATACATTGATGTTTCTGATCATCAGTGAAATACGTATTAGGTTTAGCACAGGGATATTTCTGATACAAAACTCAAAAACTATCTTGGAATCCAAACAGTGATACCTCTGCTTGCTGCTGGCTTTGACAGCTCCTGCCGGCTATACATAGACCACAGATTTATGCAGTTGGCTATGTGCGATGATCAGTTGACCCTGTTCTACTAAAGGCATCTTTGATCTTCTCACAATCAGCATTTTCTTCGCCCTCCTCCTACCACAAACATCCTTGAAGTATTTTAGAAGCAGTGTTGTTAATAAGCCCACAAACCTTGAACCACGCTGCTTTTGTCAGGGAGAGGTCATAAAGAGAAAAGAATACCACCAACACAGGTGGTCCGGGGGAAGGGGGGGAAGTGTTGGCATGTGGAGGTCTTTTATCCCATGGATCAGACTTTTAATGGGGGCCGTCACTGTAACCAAGCGAGGAGCAGGGCAGAGAGGAGATGTGTCTTAGGTCTAATGAGAGCACATTGGAATCTGTCACTGGGTAGGCTAGTATGTGTCTGTCCAAGGTTACCAAGCTGGTGTAGAGCAAATCAGGCAACTTATATTTAGCCTTGCAAATGGCGCTCTGTGGATTATGTCTTGGTGCTATCCGGTTTCGTCTTCAGTGCGTTTTGCAGCGTGAAGGGGGGCTGTGGATCATGAAGAGGCTGCTACTCAGGTGAGGAGCAGGTTCACTTCATGTTCTGAGACCAGCTCTCCTTCCACTTTTTCTAATTCCCCCCCCCTGCTCGTTTGCCTCCTCTTTTGAATACATACACTCATTCTAGGGGGCAAAAGTGTTTATGGTCTCACATACTTCTTCTGGAGGTGGAGGGCTATTCAGAGAGTCCGAAAGGCACCACAGAAGACAAGCTTGAGTTGGGCTGACAGTTGCACTGAGGGGGAGCAGGGAGTTGCTTCTCATACCAGAGGACAGCCAGCGTGCTTGGACATAACAGAGAATATTTCACAAGCCTACTGACATTTGGGATTTAACAGTAACATGGATGTACTCGCCTTAGAGGCAAAGACTGGAAATGCAGGAGATTCTGATAAGAAGTCTTCCTCGAGGCCAAAACCAAAACCTCCAAAAAAGGCCAAAAGGATTGTTTATTTTGAGGTGGAGATTGTGGACCTAAAGACTAAAGAGAAACTGCTGCTGCTCGATAAGGTCAGTGTCAGGATGATTAAAAATGGTTTCTGATTACATTTGCCTTTTATATTGAGCGTAATGATTTTCGACGACTGATAATACTTACTACAACTAGTGCATGATCATCACAGAAGTGCTTTACAAAGGCACAATGAGTTCTAAAAAACGTGCATGCCATAGATTTTCTGATCAATTACTACGGTTTATCACCTCCCGGTGCATTCCTTTTAAAGTTACATCTTATGTCTGTTCTAAAAGTAGCTCAAGCAGAGACTGTGATCACTTTGCAGGGACGTCAGAGGAAACATGTTTGTTGTAGCTCAATAACTACTCGGTTGTCACTGTGAGCTGACGGGTAATTGTACAGATATTCATGTACTTCACAGACGGCTCGGTCAAGTGCAGCCATTATCAGTTACGTTACTATTGAGCAAGGGTTGTAGTTAGGAGGTGAGAATTCCCTCTTCGACTGACAGGAATTTTCTGTTCTTGCTACAGTACATGCCTGTGCTGCGCTGGGCCAAAAGTAGGCCGGCGCACACGATTAGCAACCTTGTATAAATGTGCACAGTCTTGTCAAAAAACGTGAGGGATCTCATTGCAGATGTAAATGGCTAAATGCATGTATGAACATTTTTAAAGGGAATACAAATGTTTGCAGTAAAGACAGAATTGCAGATACTTTTGTATTTGTAGAACTCCATGTCTTGTGAATTGAGATGTAAATGTCAACATGGTAGTCTACTAATGTCACACTATCTAAGTATGTTTTTGTACATTGCAGGTGGAGCCAACTGCCACTGTTCTGGATATAAAAGCTTTGTTTCACAAATCATGTGAGTAAGTTTAAGAAAAGAAAGTAATATTTTTACCAATTTGTATTTTTTATTGAATCTCTTAAACATGCCAAGAGTTAAGTTCCTCTCCATTTGAACAGATCCAAAGTGGTATCCAGCCAGACAATCCCTGCGTTTGGATGCAAGTGCGTCTGCTTTTTTCACAATAACTACCTCATTAATCAGAGATGACGTTGATTGTAAAGTGCTGTGGGGAAGTTTTGTGACATTGTCTCAACTGTCATGTTTTCAGAGGGCAAGTGTCTCAGGGATGAGGAAATTCTGCAGACGCTTCCGGTGGGAACCACAGCCAGCTTTTACTTCAGTGACCTCGGACCCCAGCTCACATGGGGAACTGTGAGTACACACTGACACACAATATTTGTGAACATACAAATGTGTTGCGTGTTTAAGTTAATGAATGAAGTCCTGCATGCCTTACATTACTGTAAGCTGTTTCAGTAAAAACAGCTGTTTTCAAGTACATTGTGTTTTAAAATCGATTTCCCACCTTCAACCTTCCTTTGTGATTCTGTAAAAAAATATTTCAAGATTTTAGTGTGTAAATTACTCTTGAATATGTTCATGATCTGATGCTCTGAACAGCAACGTGAATAAATGAAATGAACATTTTATTTTTATCACTGAATTAGAATGCTTGAAGTTTAAATATTAGGTTCAACTTACTATTATTGCTTTCAGCTAACCAAATACAGTTAAGTGACATTTGTTGACATAATTCACTTAATTAAAGTCAACGTTTCAGTTTTTTCAGTGTATCACAGAAGAGGCTTGCTTGTAATGGCCTGCAAAGTATACACTATTTGTACTTAACAGGCTCAAACATGCAAAATCACCGGTATGGCCTTTTAAGATTCTTGTACTTTAAATATATACAGAAACTTTCTCACCCACTCAATAACTCTTGAATATCAACAGACGGTGACAGATAGAGGTGATTTGCCGTGGTTCATTTTTCTCTCACCTCCTGCCGCAGTGCCTGTCCTCTGTCCCAGGACATATAATCTCACATCTCTATTTCTCCCTAAGGTGTTTATCCCCCTGACCTCTCACTTGGGTTTCACTGTGCCTCTTTACACTCTTGCCCACCCAGTCTATCCATTCCCTGTGCTTAGCAACACTGATACAACCCCCTGCACCCTGCACCCTGCACCCTGCCAGGCTGCCTACTTGTGCCACTGTGGGTGGAGGAGCCTGCTGTGCCCCCGCAGAGATAACCAGTAGCGATTGGCCGCGCCACGCTGAGCCAGGGCTCTGCTGGAGGTGCTGATTCAGGGATCGATTTCACTGTCAGCTGTGCTGCTGCGCTTGATCATATCATTTGTGGAAAGCTGGTATTACAAGCTGCCTTAGTGTCTTCTTTTTTCCATGGGCATTATGGCACTAAATGGTTGTACAACTGCACAGACTGGTTTTGTTTTAAGACGGATTTGACATCGGTCATGACGCGGGTTACTAGAGAAGCTTGAGCCATACTGGTGTCAGGTGCACATTCTTCCCTTTGACAGAGAGTTAAGAGTGTTGATCTAACAAGGAGAACATACTTAATTCCACTGGTAGCTGTATTTTTAAGAGCTTTTAATCATTACAGCTGTTTATTGTAATGGTTTTCATGAGTTCTGCATTTTTTTGAATTTCTTCTCATGCGACTGGTTGCTAGATTATTCAAAGCCTTTCTGTCTTTTCTTGCTCACTTCAGGTGTTCCTGACAGAGTGTGTTGGCCCACTGATCATCTACTTAATGTTCTACTTCCACCTTCCCTTCATCTACTCCCCCAAATATGACTTCACCAGCAGCAAGCACTGGGTCGTACAGTGAGTGTCAGCTTCTTTTGGGGATTTGTTTCGATGTTGCTGCAGTGTATCACAGAAGACAAACACTTATAAAGGTTATTGCTGAGTCAGGGTAATGGAGTACAGCTTGGCGATGTATTAATCACAGCTCATCATGTATGTGTGTCCTGTTGCAGCTTGGCCTGCATGTGTCACTCCTTCCACTACATCAAGAGGATCCTGGAGACCATGTTTGTCCATCGTATCTCCCATGGGACCATGCCCCTCAGAAACATATTTAAGGTGAGCGAGCTCCATAGTTTTATTTTGATCTCTGAATGTCTGATTAGCGGTGTGTTAAAATGTTTTGCTTTGTTCCTATTCGCAGAAATCTGACCATATGCGGAACACTATGACTTATAATAGTGTCTGTCCCTCTATTTCAGAACTGTGGCTATTACTGGTGCACCGCAGCTTGGATGGCGTACTACATTAACCACCCTCTCTACACCACTCCCTGTAAGTGCAGATATGATAAGAAGAAAATACTGCAACATGTGTTCTGATTGGCCTTCAGTCCTTTAATCTGGTACAGCCATACTTTGGGCACAGCCATACTTTGGGCAAGTATCTAACGGTTCATAATGGAATTTTAGATTACATGAAAGATCCCACTTTTGTCAATAGTAAACATCAGAATAAAAAAGAATGAATGAAAATGCTAACATTTAGTTATTAAATATTGCCCAGATTAATCTCTATAACGGACATCAGCAAGTCTTAGATATTCATCTTGTTATGAGTGCATAGATACCAAATTGGATCCTTGTGTTTCTGAAGTTTTTGAGATACAGCCATCTGTTATCATGTTATATTTAGTCTTTGGACCCATTACACTACTTATTTTTTCTGAAACACAATGAAATATGTATAGAATACAGTAGTCCCAGGTGCCCATGGGTGGGTTCATCAATGGTTCTGCTATACATCCACAGATTATGGGCAGCAGCAGGTGAATACAGGACTTTATATTTTCTTGGTAAGTTTTAGATCTGATATATTTATGTCTCTAATAATATTCCTAACATTAAACCGAGCAATCTATTGTTACGTATGATCATCTTTGGATGTCTTTACTCCCACAGTTCTGTCAAGTAGGAAACTTTTCCATCCATGTGGCTCTTCGTAACCTCAAACAACCAGGTAAGTCTTTTCTGACAAGGCACATGGGCGTTAGCCATAAACGTAATTTTTCTAATTAAAAAAACATCAGATTGTACAGAACACTTCAATGTTTTTTTGTGTGTTTACGCTTCATCTCAGGTTCAAAAACAAAGAAGATTCCTTACCCGACGAAAAATCCCTTCACATGGATGTTTTGGCTGGTCTCTTGTCCAAACTACACATATGAGGTAAAGCAAAGTAGGCCTAAACTCTGACTGGAAAAATGAAAATAATATGTCCGTCTTAAGATAGAATAGACAAATTGTATGTTTGTTGTGAGTAATTAGAATTTGTTTGGCTTTATTAAACAAGGACCACGCAGAACAACCATCAGGACAAACATTAATTTATGTCTTTATAACACTAACGAAAAAACAAATCTATAAGCACACCAACAGCCACCTCAACATATACAAACCAACACATTCAGGCAGTAAAACTACGAGATCACCTGATGCCATACTAAATTATGGCTTTTTAAATTAATTATCTTCTGAACATCTTTAAAACTAGGAATCTGTTTGTAATCATTTCTTTATCACAGTTTTTTTTGTTCCCGCTCTCTCTCAGTTAGGTTATTTCTTGTATTTTGCAGCGAGTAGCATTGCACATTCAAACCCTGAAATACTAATGGCAACTGTTGTCTGCCTGTCTGTTCAACAACTAGCAAAATCCTGCCCTATAAAACGAACTGTTGCTGCCATCTACTGGTTATGCCTGTCACTTGTTTTAGAAATCTCAATGTGTGTGTGTGTGTGTGTGTGTGTGTGTGTGTGTGTGTGTGTGTGTGTGTGTGTGTGTGTGTGTGTGTGTGTGTGTGTGTGTGTGTGTGTGTGTGTGTGTGTGTGTGTGTGTGTGTGTGTGTGTGTGTGTGTGTGTGTGTGTGTGTGTGTGTGTGTGTGTGTGTGTGTGTGTGTGTGTGTGTGTGTGTGTCACAGCTGGGCTCCTGGATCGGCTTCACGTTGATGACCCAGTGTGTGCCTGTGGCTTTCTTCACCATTGTGGGCTTCATCCAGATGACAGTGTGGGCCAAAGGCAAACACTACGGCTACCTAAAGGAGTACAGAGATTATCCCACCCTGCGCTCCTCCATACTCCCCTTCATCCTCTAAAGCCTGCCAGAGAAAACATCAGGTTCTACCCACAACCACCCCTCTCTGATGGGCTAATTTTTGAAGGCCTTTCCATCCACTGGATATCAGAAAGTGTCTTCTGAGGTCGGAAGGATTTTGGTCATTTGGACTCCATTTTACTTAATCCAAAAAGGCTGTTATGGTTATTCTGAGTGTTCAAACGGTGAATGCAGGACTGTGAGAGGCAATAGAAGCCATCCGAGTTAAATGCAACAAAGTCTTAATTTAATGTTGAATGTGATCTTGACAAGAGGATGAAACATTTGTTTTGCTACTTTGGTAAGTTTTAACATGTTTGATGTGCTGTTTCATTTTATTGTAAGAATAACAACCTGATCAGTGGAGTTTCCCACAGAGCTAATCTGCATTGTCAAACTAGTGTGCAGCCTGGAGCTGACAACTTTGTGGCCTCATGCAGAGTTCTGCTGTTTCAAGTGACCTTTACACTAGAGCTATCTGGTCCAGAAAATGTATGCCAATTACCACATTTCCACCATGGTTGAAGATACAACTTTATTTCAGTAAAAGGAACAAGTGCATATCTCATTTAGTAAGAAAACTCTGATGACAGATGATTATAATGTTCATTAAGAAGTAGTGAAAAGAAAAGTGACTGTCATTAAATTATCTTCATAGTTTGACTTAATATTAAGTTGCTGCACCTTTCTTTTATTTTTGAACTGATCTAAAGAGTTTCCAAAATACATGACTTAAACTTTGTATGGTGGTGCTTTCCAAGATTGGATAAGGTCATTGAAAACACATCCTAAATAGTTTACTTTGCAATTCCATTTTCACTGAATGTGCATGACACAGAGCGCTGCGCCGACTGAACCTTCAAATAAAATGAGGAACTTTTATTTTATTGTATTTGGTGTCCTGCTGCATTGTTTGTGTGAGGAGAGTATTCAGTTTTGAGCACAACTTTTATCTAAAGTTTGTCTACAATATTTGGGCAACTCTGACCTACTGTAGCCATATATTTATGCATATTGTTGATATGAGGAGTGTCATAAATAAGAAAATAACTGACTAAACAGAGAGACAAGCTTTATTCGTGAATCTGGAAGAAGCGTTTCGTTACAGATAAAAATGGGACAAAACACATCGGACATGTGGACTACAGCTTATGGAATGTTACAATTCAAGAGGCTAGCTTACATACAAAAGAGACACTGGACAATTTATGAATGGATGATAAATTAAAAATATTGCATTTGATCAAGATACCTGCTCTGTAAACAGGCACGAAGCAGCTGTATTTAATTTCAAATAATATATTCAGTATAACAATAACATCTCCCGAAGTGTATTATTTATTTTTGCTTATGTATGTAAGCAAACTCCATTAGGCCCCGCATTTCTCTGGTCTGCAATTGTTCCCCAAAATGTTAATAGTTGGACCACAGTCAGATCTGAATAAGATAAAAAAATAGATGAAAACAAACAAACATATTGCCTTCCCAGCAGGTAGTGGTATATCATATTGGTTACACATGACATAGTCCAACATCAGCAGCTGTTGGTAGCATGATGAGTCAGGAATCAGACTTGTGATGCAGATATGGATAGTCTGACTTCCCCAGCACAAACGGATTTGAAGGAAATCTCACAACAGATGTGCTCCATGTGTATCTGTGTGACTTCAAAGAGCTTCCGGACTCATAGAAGGCATCATAACAGATCGAGCAGGAAATCAGGTTTAGAGTCAGATAGAAACCGACAGTTTTGTGTGAACCAAAAGCTGTAACGCTTTGCTGGCAGCACGGTGCAGTGCAGCATGTCTGTGGGTACATTAACCTATAGGTGGTCCACTTGGTGCAGGTCTCAGTCCGCCTCAATGGCTGCATTATCCATCTTTTGCAGAAAAATTCATTGCTCCTCCAAAGATGACTCTAAACGTACCGGTCCATTCCCTTGACGATGCAATTCAACTGCACGGTTGAAATGAAAACCATTTGAAAACTAAAACGGCATAATGAGAGGTAGGATGACTGTTTTACAGTTTATGATCATTCACAGTGAAAGATCATTCCACCGCAGGCCGCCCCCCCCCCCCACTCACCCTTTACATATTCAGTATATGAAGGTGGGTGGTAGTATATAGATGGGAGAGGGCACTGCATGAATGTTTGGGTCGATGCAGCATTGTCTGTTTGTTATGTGCATCCCACTTCAGACGTCGTCGTATTCCAGGAAGTGGGTCCTCTGCAGCACCTTCACATGTCGCTCATAGATTTTGAGGGCAGGGCCGAGTCGGATAGACAAACCAGTCAAAACGTCACTGCGCTGCATTAGGAGAAGGGACTTCCCATCAATTTCCTGTGGGAGAGAGCTCAGTTAGCATCGGGAGCATATGGTTAAAAGGCATGTTCTGAAGGCTTAACATCTATTAAACCTTGAGTGTTGTCTCCCCCCTCTGGCTGTGAAAGTGATTACCATAAGGGAGAGACCAAAGGATGCAGCAGCAGATATGAGCGTGGCAGAAGTGTATGTAGAGGTTGCTCAAGCAAAAATAAGAAAATGTGGTGTTTAGAGAAAGGATTCAACTCAAAAGATTTGTACTGGAAGACTCTACTGGAGGTTTAGGGAGATGCTGCGAGCAACCCTGCAGGCATACGAGTGCCAGGACGGCCAAGTCGCCACAGATGGCAGACACCACAACTCCATTGTTCTACCAAATACAGAGAGATTCATCTGGTGGGCATAGGCTTGATCAACATAGCAAGAATTGTTTGGCAAGGGCTTCAATGTAACAGACGCTCATTTATATGGAAAAGCCCCGCACTCCAGATTTAATGTAACTAATTTCATTATTAAATAGCTGCCAGGACACAATGTGTAGAAAGCTAAAGTAGTTAATTCAACCCTAAAATCATGTTTTAAAAAATGGCTAGAATTTGTCCTAGTCACTTCTCCACAGCCAGCTTTCTTCTCACTAATAAATGGTTACTCGCCACAGCATACATTACTATTGGACCGTGCGAAACATTAAATACAATCTGCCTCTACAAATGCCCTGGCCGATGGGATATGCATGGTTTTCAGTTTACATGTAGCGCCCCCAGTGGCAGCGTTGAGGCGGTGCACTAACCTGTGTTCGAAACGCCACAGCCTGCTCTGGAAAGCCTGCAGCTGAGAAGTAGCTGGCCACATCTGACACAGTCCACTGCATCAGGTTCTGGCTCATGTTCTCCTTCTTCACAGAGCTGGAGTTAGATCAGAGACAAAGGAATAAGAGACATGACAACAGAGTGAGCTTTCTTCAAAAGCTAATTGTCTCACTTTGTTGCTGTTTTTTTTACAAGCCTTCACGTGACCTTCTGTGTGGTGACTGTGGTCACGTAATTATTTACATGACTGTGCCTAAGAAATATGTAAATCAATGATTCGACTAACACAGAATAAAAGTCAAAAGTGTATAAAACATTGTAGAAAGATAAGTGACATTATCTTATTGTTTGGTAAAATGCATTTCCAGTTGAGGACGTAATGATTTGTTTAGTGAAAGGATACTCACACTTCATCATCTTTAACACCATTCAGAAGACTGACTTCTTCTGCTGGGAAGGACGTTATATCTAACTTGTTCTTTAATGTACCTGTAAACAAAATAGAAGTATAAATTATTACATTAAAGTGAGAACAAAACATTGCCAATAAATGATCAAATGTAAGTCAACATCTTCTGTGCATTCGGCCTCTGAATCCAAGCTGTGTTCAGCTCCATTTCTGATAGGCAGTGATGGAAACATTACGTTATCATTTTTAACGCAAGGTGACGCCTGTTGAGGTTTATATATCAAATCAACAGGGATTTGAACAGTTATTATAATTTATTTATAGGGTCTATTTCCTGATTTTACCGTTTTTTCCAAAACGGCATACGTACATTAATCTTTGATGGAAAAAGGGGATATGGGAGCAAAGACAATGGCCTACATGGGAACCATATTTGTAACTTTTGTTGTTATTATTTTTGTTATTATCTTTTGGGCATTTTTCCTTTATATAGATAAATAGATTTTGAAGGGGAGAGAGAGAGAAGGAATGACATGCAGAAAGGCCCTCAGGCCAGAGTCCAACCCTGAGCCCCCGTTGATAAAAGTTTAAAATGTGCAGCCTCCTATCCCTGTTATTGAGTGGTGCAAACAAACAGCAGCAGAGTTGTGATGAAATGGAAGTGATGCTTTTTCCATGGGACTAGTATCCCACACTGAGGCCTCCCCTTCACGGTACAGTATGTTTTTACATTAGAGTTTGTTCACGGTTCAGTACAATGAGGGTAAAGTGAATGGGAGTTGATACAGCACCATTACTATACAGAACCTGCCCACCGTCACAAGATGCTGGCAGGACTGTCAGCATGCATGTGATGTATGACAAGGAAGAAGGCCTCGTTTTTAGGTGAGTGCAGATCCTTCTAGATTCAAGATTCAAAAGGTTTAGCTAAACCCTTTCAAAGTACTGTGGCATGGCAGTTTACTTTCTTATATGGCATGCTAGTTTTTTGCTATGAATTGTCTTGGTAATGTCCCACTAAGGAGGGAAAAATCCATGTTATTATTTTTATATGTGTATGTATTTTGTATTAAATGTAAACCATTTGTAAGCACTTTGATTGCCGTAGAGCCATTTAAAGCTTTTAGCATTTCAATCTTCTTAATTGACTAAAAGTGTATCATGTCTACAGGCCATCTCTACTAGCATAGCTTCTATTACTGCAGAGAGGTGCTGCGTGTTTTGAGCAACAACCTTTAACTGTCAAAGTAAGCACCATCTGGATCAGAAGGTAGTGGGAGAAGCTTGAGAAGCATTCAGAAAATCTTGAGCAAGCCTCAAGGCAAGCTCAAGTCAAAAAGGCCAACCAGTCAGAATGGTATTTGAAACATAAGCTGTCATTACCTTAATCCTTAGGTGTGTTTTTTCCAAAAGTTAAAGAGCAAACTAGTGATCAATTTGTTCTGGGCCAAACAGATGCGACTACACAGCAGTTATAAAAACAAAACATGAGACACTATGTTACTCACAGTTGTCAGATGGCAAAGACAGTGCCTGTGGTCTTCCATCCGATACATTCCTGGTTTCTTCCTGCTGGTGAAACAAAACAGAACAAAAAAAGAAACATGAAATGTCAAGTGTGAAGCAGGAAAGTAAAAAGAGCAGCAGACTTTGAGGTGGTGTTGTTATTTACCAGCCCTGCTGCATAGTCTGGTACCAACTGGTCAGACGAAAGGCCACTTTCCACCGCCTGGCCTCCATCTTCTTTCTTCACGTTGTTCTTTAAAGCGCAGGGGCTGGTAGCTGCAGAGTGGACGGCTGGCTTTGTGGCTGCTGCTAACAGAGTAAGCACATGCTGATATCATTATTACTGTCACACCTGACTTACATTCTGTGCAAATTCAAGTGCCTATCAAAAGCTAAAGCATCTTAAACTTCTTAAATGTGTTTATTTTTTTAACACTGTTTATTAAGTTGTTAAAACACGCTGATGGATGACTGCTTGTCTTACTGCAGGAAGTGATTGCCTAGCCAGGGAAATGTATTGCTAACATTAACTGAGGCATTTGTATCATAAACAAACAACTATGTCACCCATCCAGCTCCCATCCCAATTCACAACTAAGCATACGTCTTGCACATGAAGCAATATTTGAGAGCCCCATAATACCGGGTGTGCACATTAGACAGTCTCTAGCCGTGTGAATACCTTTGTCTCTCTGCATTCCTGGGTGCTGGCGCTCCGTTGGGCACACAGCAGAATGATAGGCCCAGTCATTGTGTGTGAGGGCCCTGGGGCTGGGGGGGGGCAAGGAGCTGGGCCTCTCACCAGCCTTCTGTACAGAGGCACAGTCCAGGCCGGAGACGGGTCCACAGCCGGGGCTAGGCCGAGTGCCAGAGGGAGAGCAGGGGGCTGAGGTGGCACGCACAGGGGCACAGCGCACGCTGGCATCTGCCTCAGGGCGGCCAGGAGAGGGTCCGTCCTGCCCATCCCGGCTCTCATCAGCCCCCTCCTCGTCTGCATTACTGTCCGTGTCCATCGCCATTGAAGTGTCAGCCTAGCAGCAGAAGTGAAACATAGGATTTTCATTCCGTTGTATTTATAATCTACCAACAAAAACACCATCAAAAACCTAAATAATAACAAGTCAGGCATGACATAGTCTTTGATTGAATCAATGGAGACAAACAGCTTGAGGGGATTAGAAAACATTAACCCAGTGAGAGAAAAGACACTCAACAATGAATTAATTATTTTGACAACAACTTAAAAAGCTGGTAAAGCCTGTGCCTGAGCACTAATTGTAGGCTGCGAATGTCACATGAAAACACCATACAGATGTCGCAATGTGACCGCTCTGGTGAATGATTGCCTCTGAAGGCTCTCCGCGGTGCAGTGTTCACTCCGCAGACTGACTGTCCTTCAACCGCAAACGCGTTTCTACGCAATTAAACACTTGGATGTGTAGGTGTCTGGTTGCATACAAGTAGTTTTTAACATACGCACTCATTCCTTTCGTTATGTGGGAGGGGGGGTTTGTCGACGTCGCCCTGAGTAAGAAAAAAAAAATACCTTGTTTGCGACTGCGTGTCCAAGACCCAGCAGTCGAGCACAAGAGCGCACTAAAGCCCGCCCCGCTCCTGAGAAAAGAGCCGCTTGTATGGCGTTCACCCATCGCACTGCATTTCACATAACTTTCACGGAGACACGGTCACAAAAGCACATCATGCCCCCCCCCCCCCCCCCCCCCCCCCCTGTAGGATCTTAACCCAGCACGATTTTCATCCTGCCTCACATGAAACCAGGCGATATATGCTCAGTGCGTTCCGATCTTTAGAGGCCTACTTGATTGATTATTCTAACACACGGAGTAGATAAAGAGCCGATGGGAGGCGTTATAGGTTTTTCTCAAATTTCCTCCAAAGTGCGCATGGAGTTGCGAGCCGCGGTAAAAACCTCGCCATTGTGTCCGAGGTCTTTAACGGAGCGCTCCCCGGGGGCCGAACCACGGCAAAGCACACCGGAGGAAGAAAACGAGCTTTAACTCGATGGGCAGCGAGCATCAGCCGCCTCGTTTACCAAGCACTTTGACTTTGCACCGAGTCAACGATTTACAGTAGAGTAAAGGAGTCTGTTATCGGACACGTCACTGTCTACATCTCACCCTCGTATTCAAGTAAATTCTGCATTACAAGCCCCGAGTAGCAGCCTGTTTTAAAGTAATCGTACACGTTTTTGGTAGCGACGCACACGCCTTTTTAGAGAACAAAGTCAATTTGATCTCAGCTTAACCCAAATCGGATCCGCTCTATATCGCTGCTGGATGAACAGTTTGCGGTCGCTTCACGTTAGTTCAGGTCCTAACAGTGTTACCGGCTCCTACATGTATCATTACTTTGCAGTGATGTGGCTCGTCTTAAATATGCTCAGCAACATAGTTTCTAGACACTGAGAAGTGATGCCATTGTGTGCGGGACGAGAGAGGCCATAAAAACATCCAGCACCAAGCAGCAGACGTGACCGGGCTGGGCTGCGTGTCCGACAATGGATCTAGGGGTTCGACTTTATGCACTGCGTCTGCAATCGTGCATCACTTGAAATACAGCCACAATGTGCATACATGAACATACAATAGCTGTATAGTGAGTACTTTGACAATGATAACATTAGACTGTGTTGCTGTTTTACGGGGCAAAACATAGTGATGGGCATATTTTAAAGTCCAGACGGTAGGGGTGATTTCGTCACGGGCAGACATGGCAAGGACATGGCTCTGGTGACATTTGGTGTTTTGCATGGAATGGATGTCCTCGTCAACAACCACACAATGTCCCAGCGTCCCCCATCAGGTTCCTACATCCGCGGTGTTTGAGACTTTTTTTCCTTCACCCACTCCCACATACTAAGGTGGTCATAATGAAAACCTGTATTTCCTGCCCAGGCTTCCAAAGTAAAAGCCTCACTAGCAAGCACATGTTTTGACGCTCTTATTTTGAAGGCGAATGTTTACAACTTCCGGGCTACGTCTGCTACTCTCTCGCTAACTTAGCAGAGTCCTCCTCCCCTTCGCTCAACGCCGAGTTTGGGGCTCGAAAAGCGCTTTCTGCTGCCGATAATGGTGGCTCGGGTTGTTGCAGACGGGCAGGACGGTGCAACTTTTCTTGTCTACAAATGACACTTCTGACCCGCCCGTTAAAAGTGCTTTTCCGCTTAACAATGCTACACTCTCACTATAAGCGCACCTTCTGTTGTCTTTTTCTCTCGTCTCCACCTCGGCAGCGCTCGAACCGCCGCTCCCCGTCTGCGGCAGTTTTGGGTGCACTTGCAAATCACTCCCCTCACCACTCCCCGTGTAGACACAAACATACGTGTTTTTCTCGCCAGACCAAACACTATATGTGCCTAGCTTTTTTCCTCCACCTGTTAATTTGATATGACAATGAGATGCGAGCTCGTGCCTCCTCGCATCAACCTCCACGTACCTCCAAATCCTCCTCGTCCTGGTCCACGGGACCGAAAGCGCTGTCCCCGTTGCTCAGGTCAGAATGACTGGCTTCTTCCACCGCGCTCCTTCTCGCAGCCGTGGTTACATCGTCTTTTTTTCTGCTTCTTCGCTGAACCTTGGCGGCGTTCCGGTATGAAATAGAGCCCTTGTAATTAACTTTGAGCACGGTTTGTTCCTGAATCAGTTTCTCTAGTTCTGCACAGGTTCGGTCGGGCTCGGACCCGTGTCGTCTCCGGACCATTCGGCAAATCCTCTCCAAGTCCGGCCGGGCTTTTCGCGACCGCAGCGAGTCGATAGTGTCCAGGATCCATTCGCGGTACTTGGCTTCAGACATCTTTTTTGTGCTCGGTTGGTTCGCTTGCTTCTTGCTTTTTTTCTTACCTTAGTGCGTCAACCTTGTACGTTACACACGGTGTTTTTCGTGAGCCGCGGTCCGAGCCCAACTGAGAAGCGGAAACCTCGCTGTACGCCTCCTGCGTTTGCGTGTGCGCTTAAGGTGGACTGACGGAGTTGCAGGGAAAAGTTTCACTCTGGAGGGGCTTTAAGGTGGAATAGCTGTCCTGGACGAGGACGAGCGCGCGTACCCGGATCCATGTGCGCCATAAAGGGTGCAAAAGGTGGCCATTTATTTCAAGAGTTAGAAAGTGTGGTAACGCCTTTGAAGTAGTGACTGAAGGTGGGGCACATGTGGTCCATCTCTTTCACGTAGAGCTTCGCAAGATCGGTTTAAAGAGCCAGAGGCGTGTGCGCTGGTGTTTTGGGCTCCATGTGTTGCCCTACTCTAGATCAAGCTGTGGAGGTAGACAATAAAATATGTTCATAAAAGCCAACACCTTAATTAATCAGTATATATATAATAATGCATTTTTCTTATGGAATACAATTAGTGATTGATTAAAAAATTGTAAATATTTTTGATTTTTTTTATTGAAACTGATTTTTTTTTTACAGTAAAAAACAGGTTATTCGAAACACTGACCTGGAACCTGCTGTTTCTTTGTATACATTAACATTTAATACATGAAATCTATGAATAGCCGTTTTAAGATTAGCTTATGATTTACCTTAGTAATTTTTATAAACACGTAGGTCTCTATGGTCAATAATTGGATCATGCATATCAAATATATGTATCCTATTATACTCTCAAATCATCACTTTTCATTATTGTTTGTAGTCTACAATAATGAAGTGGCTTTATTAATATTTTCAAATTATTGCTCTTTAACATGTATATCTCAAATGTCATATTTGTGGATTGATTTGCTAATTTGTAACCCTTTCAATGCAAGTCATTATTGTCCCATTACTGAATTACTTTAACTGTTAATTTGTGACATTTACATTTTTATTATAGATTTATAAATTATGGGGTCTTTTACTGTCTCTTAATTGCTTTCCAACCATCTGGAGGCTCTCGGGCCCTTCACATGTAACTGATGCAGATAGATGCAATCCTGAATAGGAGAACCCTGAAGGTGGGAATACATTTTGAGAGCGTTGCTGAAAGCTGGTAATTGATCCCATAATGTGACAGGATGAACACAATGCTACATTATTCAATTGCAGCTGCCAGCCTCCCAAAACATTGACCATGACAGACAATACAGTTCCCCCCCACCCCCCCTCACCTACCAATAAGTATGTTCTTCTGATCCGGTGAGCAGCCTGAAGCTGCGAGTACCTTCCTTGACATAATGGATGTAAAAAAATACAACTTTAAATGTGACAATCCTAAATCAGTGTGACATTGTGTATGGTGTAGAGAGAGCTTACATATAACCCAGACATATTAGTCTTAACAAGTAAAAGTTTATTGGAATGATACATTTTGCAAAATATTACTTTATGTATATTTTTTTAACATACTCATTGTGTTCTAAGGGTATCTGTCAAGTTCTCCAGAGGGTAAGATAGTTAAGACTGTCGAAGGCAAGGATATACAGTATTGTTTCCCAAAAGGTACAATAGACTACACAATCACTGTACCCAGGTCATGAGGAAAAGATTAATGTTCTGTTTTTGCTTTTTTGCTTCTTTTTTTTGAAAATACAATTAGAAAATATGAACGCAAAACATCTCAGATGTAAAAAGTGTTATGTTTGAATGAAGAGTGTGGAAACGTGATGAAATTAGAAGGCAAACACAGGAGAAAAAACCTAAAATTAGCACAGAGCAGTTGATAGTGTTCAGCTGATAAAAGATAATTAAAGACAATCCACAAGAAGTTTTGTATGGGAAACAAAAAGTATGCATTGTGATGGCCTCAGTGTCTGAAGTGGATCGAATGGCTTTGCCTTCCACCCACCAACTCTGATTTAGTCATTTGTCAGAACATAAAGATATTACATGTGCTCTCTTCAAAGCATTAAATAGTGTCTTAAAAGTTTCAAATAATTAGCACAAATCAATTAAATAGGAGATTTGAAAGGATGTGGCATGTGCTTCAGTATTTGCAAAGGACTGGACAAGTTGGTTGGTGATCCACTGCATTGTTCAATGTGACGCTCAGAGAAATGGGTAAACAGTGATGAGACTGTCGGCAGTGGAAACAATGATACTCAAATACGTTCCAGGTCCAGGAGATGTCTTGTCGTTGGGTTGCTTTACCACATGCAAGAAAAACCAAGCTGACTGGAGAAACATGTATTATAAAAAATACACATCATGTTTCCAAACAGTGTTGAACCATCTCCATCAAGACATTCAAAAAAAGATATCCTGTGTTTGATCTCAATTACATTAAGAGACAGCCAAAATAATAACTCAAGCCTACTGAAATCATTTAGAGTTGAAAAACATTCTCAAAAATGTCATGTTACAAGACTTTATGACAAATTGATGCACATCTAACAATTCACAGAAGCTTTTCAGTGAGATGGACAAAGTCTAGCACCTAGGGCCTATGGAGGGGGAGGAGGGGCGAAAGCAAACATCCTTCATCAAAACCAAGTGTTCAGTCAACAAACCAGCAATTAGATTTGGTCTGCGATTGTCTTGCATCCACAGAAATAAACTTGGCAAAAGGGGACAGCTTTAGGAGAGCTTCCTTAGTTTAATTTGTTACATAGAAAGCTGGAAAACGGAAACAAAACACTCCAATCTCATCAGTCCCAAAAAGTTTGGTTGGACTGCAAATCTATCTGAAGGTGTTACATGTAGGGTATATACAAGATAAAAGGGAGGAAGGAAAAATCATAATTATCAAGGTGAGAAGCCTAGAAGAACTTTCGGACACATTGGACTTGGTCTTGTTCCATCTTTAAAATCGAGCTGCTGAGAGTCCATTTAATAAGCATGTTATCCATGAGCTCGTGTACCTCAGCACAAAACCATAATGCTATCTCTTTAAAAGTGATATTGTACAAAAATAACATGCACATTTTGTTGAAACGTTTTGCTACTTTTTTTGCGTATTAAAATCCACCACCGTCGTAGTTACATACAGAAAACTTTGCAATGTTCTCAGTTTGCAAATTTGGCAGAATTTATATTTGTTTATTTATGAAATCTTAATTTCAGTTTCACAGCTATGAGACAATGTTGAAAAAGATGGATAGTTCATGTACTCTATTATATATATATCATACATATATATCATATATATTATATATATATATATCATAAATCATCATAAATGTACTATGAATTAAATAAACAATAGTCAGGAGTGTGACCACAATGTTAGTTGCTGCTAAATCACAGCTTTTTAACCCACCCTTGAGCACTAAATAACACACAAGCACAGAGATTGACAGAAGGACAAATGATCACCAATAGGATTCTTAAAATGCTCTAATAAATTCAGCTAAGAGAAAGACAGACTTAAATGCAAACCTCATGTTTACCATTTCTCACAGGTCCCCAAAAGGAGTAAGACCTAGATGAAGTTTACTGTGATAAATCATTCTCACTCTGATCAAAGAGGTCACCGCTGCTTCAACTGCGAGCAGTGAGCGCATCATCCACCCAATAATCATGCCATATTTAGCAGACAAAGGCAGGTGCAGAGAGTTTTCAAGCTTTAAACCAAACGGGCACAAGGGCTGATGCCACCGTAGCCAAAGCTCTGCACCAGTGCTTTCGACAAAGTTTTCCAACCAGTTGGCATTATGATAGGCACATCTGTTGGACTTGGTATTGCTTGGACAGATTCAGGATGGAGGGATGGAGGGGGGGGGGGGGGGGGGGGGAACCAGGGTGACAAGATACAACAATTACTCTTTGAGAAGCTTGTAGAGAGGGTCCATTTGAAAAAAAAAAAGAGCCTAGCAGATTCAGTACCTAAAAGAAAATCAATGCCTCAACCTGCAAAGACTGAAAACATGTCATTACACCGTCAGAAAGATACACGTACAGCTGGACAGCCAACTACCTATACCTGTTCTCCTCCAGCCCCTCACAAACACAAGAGGGATAAATAAAATCAATAGGTAACAGTTGAGAAACAATCAGAAAAGGCAACACTGCTGGTTCTGTTGGATCTTTCTTCACTTTGCCTACCTTTCCATTGGGGAAGGGGGGGTTTTACATTGTTGTCGTCATTACAAATAAGCAAGTTAGCAGTCCACCCTAGCGCTTCTTTCCTTCAGACCCCCTTTTACTTTCTAAATCTCTCTCTCTCGCTCTCTCTGCTACTCATGGATGGAATCTAGAACTCAGCAAACTCCTTTGCACACTTCTCTGTGAAGGAGACTCTGATTTCCTCTTCCTCGTAGTCGTCAAAGTTGCTTGTGTCACCGGGGCCTTTGCACTTAGGAATAAAGGGAGCTTCCACCTGAAACAAAAGGACAATGAAATAATCAGAATGATGCAGAATTGACAAATGGAGTGAACCAGAGCCATGGCAGAGAGTGCTATATACAAGACATCTGGGGAGGCTGCTTTGTGTCTTTATTGGATCTTAGAACAGCAAACTCCATTGGATTTTTAAGAAGTAAATTAAAGACCTATCTTTTTAATGTGGCTATTCATTTAGGGTACTTTTAGTGGTATCACTGTTTATGTTTTTATTATTTTATGGTTCTGTGATATAACTCTTTCAGTTTGTTTATAACTTGTTTTTAAATTATGTTACTCTCAAATCTATATTTTCTATCTTGTCTTATGGTGCGTTCACACCGGACGCGATGCGAATATTCGCTTCGCTCCAATCGCTCAAGTTTCACCGCGGCTTGCAGTTTGTTTTATCGCGTCATTCAAAACAGACATACCGTTGACGGGCAGTTGAGGTTGTTTACACTTCCATGCAAGATCGTTTTGGTTATTTCTGTCCTTGACTATGGAGGATATAACAACTATTGCTGCTTTGTACCTTCTGTGTACTCTGTAAAGCACTTTGGGCTGCACCTTGCATGAAAGGTGCTATATAAATAACGTTTATTATTATTATTATTATATAGAACTGGATGACATAGGTTCCAGTAGATTGAGACATTTAAAAATAGATTCATATTCATGTATAGTCATACATAGTAACTTTAAAGAATA